GGGAGTTAGAGTGTGCTCCTCTAGAGAATCTTGATTGTCTTAAGATATTTGTGTGTGTGTGTGTGTGTGTGTGTGTGTGTGTGTATACCTATAGCTACTTATGAGGAGAGGGGGAATCTTTGAACAAATCATGAATCTAGCCCTTAACAAAGGGGTTGACTTTAATAAGTAGATAAGAAGGCAATATTAATCTGAACAAAGAGACTTTTAATTATTTAGGACTTAAGCAAATCTTGGCCAAAAATCTGCACACCTAGGAAGCTGACTCAAATAGCTGTTCTAACTCACAAGGAGGAGATATTCAGTTTTTTTCTTCAAATGTAGCCAAGGAGGATAAATGTTCAAGAAAAAATGTACAGAATGGGAAATGGCATGGAAAATAATAGATTTAGAGAATCCTAGTCCTGGTGTAAACACCATTTCCAATTCAAAATTTCTTCAAAGTTCTTCCAGGTGGGATTTTGAAATTGCTAACTCATGGAGTGCTACATGCCTTCATTTTTCTCACTTCCTAAAGGGAATTGTTGTTGTCATTGTCCAATCCACATTCCACCATTGAATGCTGGGTATGTCTTTTAGTTCACAAGTCTCCAAAGCAAGAAGCATTTAGGCATTATTATGAGATGGCTAGAAAATCCTCAAAGATCCTGAATCTTGGGCATAAAATTGTGTCTGGGAAGAGTCTGGGTTCCTCTTTTACAGAAGTCAGGTGGGATGAAAAAGAAAACAAACACTGTGGCTAGAAGGATACATGGCTGTAAGTTTTATTATTGTTCCTCTTTTGTGAATCAGAATTTTGATCATGAGACCTTTAGGCCAAATTAAATATGAACGGAAGTGACATGCTATGTTTATAGGTACATGCCTTAAGAAACAGTTTATGCTTTGCTATGTGTGTTTTATCCCTTTGCTGCTAGAATAGGCAACGTGTTAGACAACGGTTGTTCTATCAGTGGTGGTGTTAGAGTGAGATGAAATTACCTAATTCTTGATGCCATGGTTTATAAGAAATAAAGCTTTTTTTTTTTTTTTTTTTTTATTTTATTTTTTAGCTACTAAGTTTTTGTTTACTTCTGCAGCAGAACTGAGTCTGTGCTATTGCCTATGTCATTTGAGTTAACATAGCTCTGGACTTATGACAAGTTAAGGATCATGGCTTCTCATGCTCTTGACTCAGGACAAACTAAGGTCATGCATTCTGAGTCTTAAATATTTACTTTTCCCACCCTATTCCACAGAAAATATAATCTCTTCCTCAATAAATGCTCAAATATATATGTATGACTAGCTGCCGAATATTTGTCATTATTTTATTAGTTAAAGCAATGCAAATGTAACTTCAGGAGGCCCTACATTATCCTAAATTTGGATAGATCAAGAGGTATAAAAGGATTCCCAACAACTCAAAAGAGGGGTCACCCCAATAAGTGTATAATTTGTCTGTAATGGTGAAAGAAACCATAACTAGATATTTTACAGTATCATCCAAATATTTCTGGTATGTATTAGAACATGTCTTTTAAGTAAATGTTTAAAATTATTGAATATATTTTAACCTAGATAACCAAAGTAATCTTGAACAATGAAGAAAGAAATTGAATAATACATTAAAATGTGGAAAGATCTCCCATGTTCATGTGTTGGAAGAACGAATATTTTAGAAATGCCCATGTTGTACAATATGGTCTACAGATTCAGTGAAATTCTCATCAAAATACCAGTGACATTATTCACAGGAGTAGAAAACCAATTCTAAAATTCATACAAAATCACAAAGAACCCCAAATAGCCAAGCAGTCTTGGGCAAAGAAAGCAAAACCGGGGACACCCCAATACTAAATTTTAAGTCATAGAACCATTTTCATTACAACATGGGTTCGGCCTAGAGATAGACATATAGAGAGACCATTAAGCAGAATAGAGGACCCAGCAAAAAACTCACACATTTACTGCCAACTGATTCTCTCCACAAAGGTGTCCAAAACATGGACAGCCTCTTCCACAAATAGTGCTGGGAAACCTACACTTCGTGGTCAAAAAGAAAAATAAAAATCCTGTCATTTCTTGAAAATGTATGGTACCAGAGGACAGTTAAGTAGGCCAGTTCCACAAAGGCTAACACTTCATGTTCTTGCTCATATGTGGGAACTAAAAAGCTTATATTCGTCTAATATAATGATCTCCACAGCCTGGGAAATGTCACAGGAGGGAGCATGAAGGGAGTTTGGATAATGAGTATAAAAACAGAATGGATAAACCCTCGTCCTCCATGGCGCAGTCAAATGGCTGTAGCTCAGGAGAATCTATCATGCATTTTATAAAGATCTAAGAAAGAGGAGCTCAAACACTTCAATTCTAAAGAAATGACGAGACAGGAAAGCTAATTCCTCTGATTTCATCAGTGCATACTGTATGCATGTGCTGAAATATTGCACCGGACGCTATTAATATGTATAATTACTGGATATTCACAGCTTCCCTGTCATGCTCTAAATTTTCCGGTTTGGCTAATAAATGACAATGGTTCCTCTGAAAGACCCAGATCTCATGACTGTGAAAGTCTGGAGAGGGACATTGGAACTTGATTCACGGGACGAGGGGCTCATGGTAGTGTGAGGAAATGGAATCAGCTGGGAACACACCCTTTACACATCCCTCTTGAGAAAAATTCACCCTTGTCTCTCCATGCTAGACCCTGGAAAATCCTCTTTCACAGCCGAGGCCAGAAGAGACCCATGGCCCAAGCCCAGCACGTATGGGAGGCTGAGCGCAGTTTCTGTGATGTTTGTGGCTTCTCATTCCTGAGAGAACTCTGTGCTGTCAGGGTACAAGAGCCCCGTCCCGGGGAAGGATTGTATCTCCCAGATGTGTTAGTCAGGGGATGTTTTCTCTATCATTCTTTAAACCTTTTAAATTACAAGTTTTTCACAAACTGAAAGTGTGCTTCAAAACTATACTAGATGCCTGGCAAGCATGAGGTCCTGAGTTTGTTTCCCAGTATTCCCCCAATTTTTTAAAAAATTTTTTTAAAAACCCTGTACTAGAAAGATATCCCCTAATAACACTATTTCATATAATGCTTACTATGCACATGGCAGATACTTCGCTAATTTAATATAAACACTTTTAGGTGGGTTCCACAGTCTGTATTTTGCAGGTAGAATAACAGGTATAACATATTACATAACTTTCTCTGAGTCATAAACCTCACAGGTAGCTGAGCCACAGTCACACAACAGCTGCATGACATTGCATGACACAAAGTTGTATAAGCGGAATATAGTCCCTTTAATAGCATCCAAAATTGAATTTAGCATCTTTCAAAAAGGCCCTTCCAGCTGGTTTGTACTTTTTGCCCTCCTAAAAGCCTGGTGGGTTAATACTGAAACGTTTAATTATCCTATGTACATGTGAAAGAGTCGACACTCCTGACCAGTGTAGCCATTTAGCGGCAAAGCCAACAGGGAGTTTCCCTAAAGTAGCTCAGTACTCCTCTTGGTTATGTATTTTGTATGGATGGAAGGTGGTTTATTTCCACAGAAACTGGGATAACTACTAACTAGAGATTTGTTCTCTCTTTCTCTGCAGATAGTAGGACCATCAACGCAGTGGCTGGGGCAGGAACAGTACAACTGCTGCAAAGTTCATTCTCCTGGGATTCCCCGAGTTTCCAGGGCTCACCATTGCCCTCCTTGTGATATTCCTGGGAATCTACCTCATGGCAGTCTCCTGGAATGTGGGCCTCATCACCCTCACCAAGATGGATGCTCATCTCCACACACACATGTATTTTTTCCTCAGCAACCTGTCACTCCTGGATATCTGTTCTATTTCCATGATAGCCCCCAAGATACTCTCAGACTTCTTCAAGAAGCATAAGTTTATCTCCTTCATGGGGTGCATCACACAGTGCTTCTTCTCCAGCCTGGGTCTGTCTGAGTGCTGCCTTCTGGTGGCCATGGCGTACGATCGCTATGCTGACATTTGTAACCCCCTGCTCTACACAGCCATCATGTCCCCCACCCTGTGTGTGCAGATGCTGGTGGGATCTTGCACAATGGGATTCTTTGGCTCATTTATCCAACTGTGTGCCTTGCTGCCTGCATTTCTGTGGGCCAAGTGTCATCAACCATTTCTTCTGTGACTTGCCACAACTGCTGGTCTTGTCCTGCTCTGACACCTTTTTCTTCCAAGTCACGACCTCCATGCTCACAGTGATCTTTGGCCTCCTGTCTGTCTTGGTTGTCATCGTCTCCTATGGTTACACCATTGCCGCCATTCTGAGGATCACTTCAGCTGAATGCAGATCTAAGGCCCTCAGCACCTGTGCTTCTCACCTGACAGCAGTCACCCTTTTCCTCAGCTCAGGGATGCTTGTTCATATGTATCCTAACTCTGGAGATTCCCTGAGCCAAAACAAGCTGGCATCAGTCTTGTACACTATTATAATCCCCACGTTGAATCCACTTGTCTACAGTCTGAGGAACAAGGAAATCCAAGATTCCCTAGACAGGTGGAAGAAGATATTCTTCTCCAGCCATTACTAACTACAGAATGTATTTCGGATGTGCTATTGCTCTGCACTTCTAAGATAAGCTCAGGAATGGCACAAAACTAGGCAAATATATGAGAAGTATCTGGAAACTCAACATACACTTGTGATCAAAGAAATCAATAGGCCAAGCACTCCTCAAGTATTTTTGTGCCTGTGGAAATGTTCACTTCACCTTGAATACTCGTTCACTATCTAGCATGTCAGAAGAAAGAAAAAGAGAGACAGAAAAAAGGAAGAAATTGTTTTTAAAAAGATCTCCCATTTTACCCTGTTTAATAATGATTTTTTTCCTTTATTATTTTCATGTTATATTTTTAAATTTATTTTTATCTTAGACATAAAAACAGAAAGCTTTTCTGGAGAGGAAGCTGATTGGCAATTAGTCGATAGAGTGTTGTCTGAGGAAATGAGGGGTGGAGTTGTAAGCCTAGATTTTATCTGTGACCTTTTTCAACACTAACATCTGTTCGGTGCTCCCTTTGCTGCAGCCTGAAACCTAGGACTCACGCGGCATTTGTAGCTGGCGTTGGTCCCGGGGTGGAAAGAGGGAGCAAACCTCCAAATGCTATTTCTTTCACCTGAGTGGATATGTAATGTTTTTATGAGCCAAGGCACAACCAGCAGAAATGCTACATAAAATTTAAAATGTCCTTAGCTATGGAAAACCTACTCCCAGAAAAGAGTGATGTGGCCCTTTAGTCGGAGGGGCCCGCTTCCGCAGAGGACCAGAACTTCCTTTACTCTGATCTTCGAATCATCTGTAGGATGTGAATACAGAAGAGGCACGTTGCTGTGTATGACTTCACACAGAGGGTAAATTTTCGGGGACTGATGACTTGGTCATGACAGAGGCTCATAAATCAAATTCCTGGGCAACAGTATGTTTTTCTCTTTTAAAAAGTTAGTGATTGTGATTAATATCTTTTTCTTGTTTGTTTTGCATTCTTATTTTTTAAGTTTATTTTTGTTAGTACCTGTTTGCAGTACATAGCGTTTACATTCCTGGTGAGGGGTTGGTACATGTACATAACACACCTCGATTCCATCCTCTTGCTCTCCTTCCTCCCCTCTCTGCGTCTCGTGGTTCCCTTCCCATTTGAGAAAACCCATCTCCCTACTTCCTATTATTTATCTTTTGTTTTGCTCTGTATTTACAAGTTGGGGTTTCAAATGTGATAATGTGGGGTTTTCTATATGATTCTTAAGCTTATGTGCCTGATTTATTCCACTTAACATTATGGTCTCCAGGTGCATCCATTTTCCTACAAATGACTCAAGTTTATCTTTGTTTACAGCGGAGTAGTTACTCCTTGTCTGCAAACACCAATTTCTTTACCTCTTCATAAGAAAATAAGTGCAGTTTAGGCAGTGTATTAAAGGAATAGAGTCTGCATCGATTAATTTTATCATATAATATTCTTTGGGTTCCTAGTGTGCTGCTGGAATTTAGCACGGAGGGTCTGAGGAGGCTCCGGGTTTGCAATAAACTCTGCATTCGAAGAAGTTACATGTTCTCTGCTGGGTTAGTAAGACGTGGGGTTTGGTAGCTTCTAGGACTCTGCTCACAGGGTAAACACTCCGAATTCAGTGCTGAATGCTGACTCATTGTTCTGTTCATCACAGCATATCGACTATCTTGTCTTCCACATTTGGAAGAAAGTGGTAAATAAAAGTAGGGTTTTCAACAGGGCCCTGAGTTTCCTAAGTTGAGGCACATCCGGGGAAGTGGATCAGTGGATTGCCACACCCACACGAGATGCTTCTGGAAGGTCAGCACCTGATGTGTAGGAAATTGGACACCGTTTCATCTGCAGACAGAACCACACTGTGCTCTATGAACCCAAGAATTAGAAAAAATCATAGTGGAAATAAAGATCAAGGGTGCTTCAGAAAATTAAATATTGAACTAAAGAACTACTCTGAGACCTTACTTAGGAATTTAGGGAGAATCTATGAGGGGATGAATACATTGAAATAGACGATGAGGGCTGAAAGCTTTCAGCAGAGACCCAGTGTAACATGGCAGGAAGCAGAAAAGGCAAAAATTAAACTAATGGAGGAAAAAGAGTTTTTAAAATCAAGTTTTATTGGCACATTTTAGATATATATGATCACATTCATCATAGAGAATTTGTACCTGTACAGCATATAATTCATTTTTTCCCATTTTACTCTCCCTTCAACCCTTCCTCCCCTCCTGATTTACAAAAGCTTTGTAGATATATGCATACTCTGTTCCCCCTACTCTGTTTCCCTCCCCATTTGAACATTCTCTTCCCATTTCACAATACCTACTACACATTTTGGTCCTCATTTACTCTTGCAGTTTCTCACACCAGAGAAACAATGCAGTATTTACACATGTATGTCCGATTTATTGCATTTAAGAATATGGACTCCAGGTGCAGCTATTTTCCTGGAAACGTCTTGAGCTTATCCTTCTGTATGGCAGAGTAGTATTTCACTGTATAAAAAACCCCCTACATCTTCTTTATCCATTCACTAGTTGAAGGATATTTGGCTTGTTTCCAAGATTTAGCTATTACAAACTGTGCCACTATGAACATGGGTGTGCATATATTACTGTGGTATGATGTTTTCAATTCTCTAGGGAAGGTACCAAGAAGAGAATAGCTGAATTGAATGGAACCTCTACCCCTAGTTTTTTGAGGAATCTCCATACTGATTTCCTCATATCCACCAACAGTGTGGAAGAGTTCCTTTTTTTCCTTCATCCCCTCAAGCATTTGTTATTGATTGATTTATTAATAATAGCCATTCTTTGCAAAAGGATTCTTGAATCTTAAAAAAGATAATTTTGTTTTTCTGAAGACATATTGAGAAATTGTCTTTTCTTAACTAAGCAGTGTGTTTAAAATTATTTTAAATCCAAACACCAATAGGACTTCTTGAAAGGTATGTGTTGGTAGTGAAAGGAACATTGTAAAATTCATCCTTGAGAATAAAGGTTGACAATGCATTTGCTTCACAATGCATAAAATATTGTTCTGCTGAGATCAAGAGTAATGAATAAAACACATTGAAGCTACAAACATGTACTAGCAAAAATAGATAAATCAAGTTGATAAATACAGCTAAGAAAACACAAATGTTGATTTGTAGGTGAGAAAGAATGCAACAAACTTAAAAATCAGTAATAAGTGAAGTCACAAATGAAAATGTTAGGGCTGTCATACTTCCAACACTGTTATACAGATTTAATGCAATTCCAATGAAAATTCTAACAGCATACCTCACAGAATTAGAGAAAACAATCCTAAAATTCATTTGGAACCAGAAAAGCCCTAGAATAGCAAAGGCAATTCTGGGCAACCAAGGCAAGGCAGGGGCATCACAATCTGACTTGAAATTATACTATAAAGCTACTGAGATAAATCAGCATGGTGCTGGCAAAAAAAAACAGACCTGAAGATCAATGGAACAGACTAGAAAATACAGAACCAACTCCAGACATATTCAACCACCTTATATTTGACAAAGGGGCCAAACACATACACTGGAAGAAAGATAGCCTCTCTAATAAATGGTACTGGAAAAACTGGCTCTACCTATGCCAAAGATTAAAATTGGACCCATATCTTTCACCATGAACTAAATAAATTCAAAGTAGATCAAAGATCTAAATATCTGCTGCAAGATAAAATAGGTAAAACTCTTGAACACATTGATGTAGGCAAAAACTTCATAAATAAAACCCTGATTGCACAAGAACTATCACAAAAAATAAACAACTGGGATCTCATCCTATTAAAAAGCTTTTTCACAGCAAGACAAACCACCAATAGAGCATAGAGACAACCCAAAATGTGAGAAAAAAATGTTTGCCAGCTGTTCCTCAGACAAAGGTTTACTATCAAGAATATACAAAGAGCTAAAAAAAATCAGACCTCCCAAATTTAAAGACCCAATCCAAAAATGGGCATTGAAAACGGATACACG